ACATAATTCCTTGCCCTGGACAAGACTTGATGTATTGCAAAAGGTGGTGTGCTGCATCCAAGTGTGGTTGTCTAGGCTGAGATACAAATTGGCTTAATTTGTGAACTACAAACGTTATATCATGTCTGGAAATGGTTAGATAAAGAAGACGTCCAATCAATCTCCTGTACATGGATGCATCTGCAAGCAATTTCCCTTCAAATGAACTAAGTTTTATTTTAGGATCCATAGGTAGAGTTGCTGGTTTACATGCGAGAAAACCAGTGTCTTCAAGCAGTTGTAAAGCATACTGCCGCTGAGACATAAAAATTCCTTTATAAGATCTTGCAACCTCCAGCCCCAAAAAATACTTCAACCTCCCTAGATCCTTCATCTTAAATTGACTGTGTAGGAAGCCTTTTAGTGAGTCAATTCCATGCTGATTATTTCCAGCAATTAGAATGTCATCAACATAGACCAAGAGGACAACCAAAGTTCTACCAGTACCTTTGGTAAACAAAGAATAATCTGCTTTCGATTGCTTGAAACCATGATTGATTAGAGCATTTGAGAACTTTGAAAACCATTGTCTTGATGCTTGCTTAAGCCCATAGATTGATTTGTGAAGTTTACAAACCAAATTCTCTCCCTGAACTTTGGAACCAGCATACTCTCTATATCCCAATGGTAAATCCATGTAAATCTCCTCAAACAAATCTCCATTGAGGAAAGCATTGTTAACGTCAAGTTGAATGATATCCCAGTGATTTGTTGCTGCTATTGCTAGAAATACCTTGACCGTAACAAGCTTAGCAACATGTGAAAAGGTCTCATTGAAATCCAATCCTTCTTGCTGAGCATATCTCTTGGCAACCAAGCGTGCTTTGTGCCTTTCTATACTACCATCTGATCTGTACTTTATTTTATAAATCCATCGACAGCCTATGGTATTCACTTAATAAGGTGAGGTCAATCCTCCCCTAACAAGCCGGTTTTGTTAGGTTGAGTTATGCTCAATATCCTTTCTAATATGGTAGCAGAGCAGGCCCAGTTTTGTAATTTTGGGTGTCACCCAATATCGATTTGTTCATAATTATTTGGCATGGTTCACGCTGTGCGTGAGATGGCGTATTAGAATCCCACGTTGATTGGTGATATTTACACGATCCACTTAATAAGGTGAGTGCAGTCCTCCCCTAACAAACTGGTTTTGTTAGGTTGAGTTAGACCCGATATCTTTTCTAATAAAAACAATGCTGGCAATTTGTATATCTTACTCTGGAGTGTCATTCACAATCTAAATATCATATCTCTGTGACACGTATAGTTGGTGTCCCAGCTAGAGCCAGGCCATGTTGGAGCTGTAAGCACATGCCATGGTGTGGCGTAAATGGGCTGGCATATATTTATTAAAAAAGAAGAGTGAAAGAATGTTGGTCCAGCGTCGTCCTTGGCCCACTTCAAAATTGTAGCTGTCCCACAGCAACCGAGAAACTGATAATTGAGACAAAAATGAGCATACAAGTAAGGTAGGGAAAATGATGTATCTATGGAGTAGTCTATGAATGGTGACCGTGCATTATTATCAACTAATAACAAACCTACCTTTTCATTCCGAGTCCCTTTAACTATTATATGAATCTACCAATGGAGGCGAGAAATGAATAAATTCGGCTGCGCCTCCCATTGCAGCCTATTGAGCACAACCACTTTTTCAGCAGTTCACTAGCTTCTCTAAATAATACAGCTCAAGAACCATTGACCCAAAATACCAATTCTTACTGCTAGTTTTTCTCTGAAACGAAAGAAAAACTTGTTGGAATATGAATCTGAGACAGGAACCGAAGAAGATTTCGAGTGGGATTTTGATGAAGGAAAGGATAATCACGTATGAGGAGTGCAGAAAAAACCACGCAGCAAGTATTGGGAAATATGCAGTCGATGGGTGCTGTGAATTCATGCCGGCCGGAGAAGAAGGAAGCCATGGAGCTCTCAAGTGTGCTGCATGCGCTTGTCACAGGAATTTCCACAGAAAGGTAGTGCAGAAATTACAAACTTACTGTGATTGTTCCTCCAAATCCTCAACCCCAAAGTGATTTTTCCAGAACTAAATGTTGCTATGTCAAACAAGAAAAGAAGCTGTACAAGAACTCTGGTAAGGGTATAGAATGATATGATTGTGAAAGAAAGAAAGAACAATGGATTTATTTTATTTGTAGTAATGTTGAGACACTAACTTGGATAATGAAGAAATATGATTCTGTTAATGATAGATTACTTACCAGTTTTCTTACTTGAAGATTTGATTTGAAATTGTTTGTTCTATTAGAAAGATGATGTACAATGCTAATTCTTAAACACGCAGATGATATACTTCGTTTATTATTTTATAAACCTTTTACATTTCTTGATTGTTTGTGTCTAAATATTCATAATTAGAAACTCATTTAAAGGATATCAATGATGTTTATTAGGAGAGTGTTTGGTGGGGATTAAAGTTAAATTTTTAGTAGATTGTGATGGAAGTTTTTGAAATGTGTTGTTGAAAAATTGTGGGATCCATGAAAGATGTTGTTAATATTGATTGTTTGACTTTGACTTGGATTAAAATCAGATTTTAATCCGAACCAAACATGAGTTAGATATGGATCCGTTGCCCGGCCCCATTGTCCGACCCCTCACTAGTGATTTTTTTGGAAAATGTGTAATTAAAAAGTAGAAAAAAAAAATTTGGTTTGCGAACGAAATATTTTATTTTGTAAATACGTGGTTAACAATGAGTATGAGAATTAATTAATTTTTTTTTTTTTGAAATAATGATTATTTAAATCCAAGGCCTAAATAGTTAATACTTTCAGTTGAATTAGACAGAATTAAAGAAAAAAATTAGAATATCGTAATTTGTCGTCTTATGTACCATAATGTGTACCAAACACACTATGTCACTCTATTCTCTTGGAGGTCTCCTTCTGAATTTGCATGCACACGAGTCCGACTGCTAGAATTTTGTTCAATTCTTGAAGCTCTTGCAATTTTTAGTAATGAATTTAAAGCTTGTATTGGAGTATCAACAAATCATATAGTTATAAATAAATAAAAATGAGAGATAAATAAGCCCTATTTAACCTCCATTAAAATTAGTTTTTAAGAGAAAATGTATTTTGAAATAATAATTTTTTTGTGCGTATCACAAAATATATGGAAAGAAAAGCAATTTGACTGTTTATAAACAT